AGGTGACCGTGCCTGTTTCCACTCCATCGAACGCCATCTTCTGTCAGTGGTCAAGATTAGTTTATGGAACGAGGATTAATAGAGGATAAGAGAGATAAGCTATTTGATGATCTTTTGAGATAAGACACACACATACACACATATATATATATATATACGTATATAAATATATACATACACATATATACATACATATAAACACACACACATATATACCATATATAAATATATATATACATACACATAAATATACATATATATAAATAATAAAAATACACATATACATACACATATACACATACACATATATATACACATGTACATATATATACGTATATAAATATACACATCCACACATATATATACATATATATATACATACATATAAATACACATATATATATATTAATACATATATATAAACATAAATATATATACATATACACATATACATACACATATATACATACATATATTTACATACATATAAACACACATATATATATATATATACCAATACATATATAAATATACATATATATACACACATATATATATCAATATATATATATCAATATATATATATATATCAATACATATATATATATATATACATACATACATATATTTATTAATTATTTATTTTTTATTTAATTTCTGACGTGGCGATGACATGGCGCGATGATTAGGAGAGATGTTGAGAATTTTGTCGTCACGTAGGATTTCCGTTTGTCTACGTGGCGGTTATTTGACGGTAGGTAATTTTTTGCCAATAATTTAAAAGTATAGAATTTATTTGGAAAAAAACCAATTGTATAGGTATTATTCAGTAATTTAAAAAATACAGGTATTAAATTGAGAATAGAAAAAAGTACAGGTATTTTACGGCGATTCTTCCTAATATAAACTATGTTACATGGACCAAAATGGTTATACAATTTGTTGTTAGGCGGCTAAAATATTTACATTAAGTATTATATTATACAAAAATTAGATAAATCCTTAAAATTTCAAGGGTAATTACCGAAAAATACACAAACCTATATTTTTTTTAAGCTAAAAAAAAATACTATGTACAATTGGTTTATTTCAAAACAAATCTCATATTTTTAAATTATTCACAAAAAAATCTCTAATTTCAAATAATCATATAGACAAACAGAAATACTATGTGATTGACGAAAAATTTAAAAATCTCTCATAATCATCGTCACACCAACATCACGCCAGAATTAAATAAAAAATTAATAAATAATAAATAAATTAATAAAATAAAAAATTAAATAATAAAAATATACACATACATATATATACATACACATTACTCGGACTAATAACAACACTATTAAAAAAAACTAAACAATCACAAAAAGAGAAAGGAACATTTTTTTTATTATTTTGATGAAAAAATTATAAGAAGAATGAAAGAGCATAAAAAAATGCTCTTTTTTTTTGGACCCTTTATTTTCCATCTAACGCTTTCTATGACCTCTTCTATACATCACCTCCTCCTCTTATGTACACAATATCACCTATCATCTGTTGCTAATCAAAAAAACCGGAGCCAACCCGAGCTGAATCCGATCTAACGTTCTCTGTACAGCGAGAGATCGGAGGCTCGGGAGCTCGGAAAAAGAATGAATGAACGAATCGTCCAAAGAGCCAAACCAGAAGAGACGGTCTTTTTTCTTTTCGAGCTTCTCAAAGGCTGTAATATCTCACAGAGTAGTCCAGGACTTCGCGGTTAGGGCAGATGATCTCCTTAACCCGGTTTCCGTTCTTGTAAATCTTGAACGTTGGCACTACCTTCACATTCTCTTCTCTACTTATCTCCGTCCATTTATCGATATCCACCTGAAAACACACAACAGATCACGTTTCAAGAAACTTGTCTGAATCCAACAGGAGATTTCTTGTTTCGTGTGTTTTCTCTCTACATTATACCTTGAGGAAGTTCAAGAACGGGTATCGGATGCAGAGAGCATCGACGAATGGAGATATCTCCTTGCACTGATCATCGGATGCCTTCATGAAGTGCACGACCGAAACTCCAGGCAAAGATACTGCAGCTTTGAACTGTTCAAGACTGGAGATTTCCTCCACTTCCCCGCCGAATCTCATGTTGGAAACATCGTCCCCTCGGGATTTTCTCAGAGCAACTTGTGCGTGAAACAGTGACTCGGCAATCTCCTTATCGTCTGGCAGTTCTCTCCTCACTGCCTCGTAATCCATCACTGCATTTCCCCATCTCTCCAACTACAAACAGCCCCCATATGAAGAAAACACTCTCAACTCATGATAAGGAATATGAAGCATTAGCTCTTTCTTTTACCTTGCTGTTTGCGGCAGCCCTTCGAAGCAATGCCTTAGTGTAGTTCGGTTGAAAATTCAGTGCTTGATCACAGTCTTCGATGGTACGTTCCCACTTCCCGAGCTTAAACCAACAAGCTGCCCGGTTAGAATACAACACCGAGTTGGTAGGATCATGTCTAAGGCCTTCTTCGTAAGCTGTAGATGCTTCTGTATATCTTTCCGATCTATAGAGCTCATTGCCACGGTTACGTGCACTAGTAACCAAAGTGACGGTATTGGCCAGCGTAGAAACTTCGTAGTTTCGTCGATCCAGTTCAACAGCTTTGGCAGAAGCTGTAGCTGCACTTTCGAACCTGCAAGTATTATACCTTATAAAATCTATCCATCAACTTCGGGTTTTTAAAGGGTTTTTTCCCTCCTAAACTCACCTTCCTAGTGCCAAATCGATCCGGGATTTGACGAAATGTGTATAAGCTTCACAAAGCATCCCGCAAAATCGTTTTTGCGAGCAAGACTCGGGGAAAGGCTCCACTTTCGGAACTTCTGATAGAATTGATCTAGCATCATCAAGCCGGTTCA